GCAAGAAAAACGGGGAGGCAGAGACCTGGGGCAAGAGAGCAGGGTCGTGCAAGTCAGTGCGTCGGGAAGCGGCCGGGGCGGTTGGTTTTCGGAGAGTTCAAATGCAATTCCATTTTGCAATGCTCTTCGACCAGCGCCCTCATCATGAAAATTGGTTTGTCTGCCCTGGCATGTAAAGTCACAGTTGTCAGTGAGCTTGGCAATTCACACTTCGTGCATGGACATGCGTTTGGAAAATGCCCGCAAGCCCCCTGGCGTGAAAATGGTTCCGGGCAGTTCCCAATACCCCACACACAGTTTCTGTTTTGGCGGTGGGCGGGGGGAACCGTTTTCGAACAGCATGAGAAACAATTTTTTTGATGACACGCAATTTTGGCTCCCGATTTGTAATCCAACGCGGTGTCAAACCAGGATTTGCTTTCATTTCTAGCCCGTCTAGCCTCAGAATGGCGTATTTGCACAAACAAGCACTGATAAGCGGCGGTTTTTGATTGTGGCCGTCAAAACGGTGACGTGGCTAATTTCCTTGCTCCTGGCCCCGAGATGTCGTTTCTACACAATCCATGTTCAGCCCACCTTCCACCAATTTTCAACCAACGCTGCTGTCCCATGTAAGGCAGTCCTTAGCGTGTGGACAATGCCCGTTCCCCCAGGCGCCGAAGCGGAGCTCCCCATGGCGGAGGTTTCCCCAGCTCGCAATTGATCCGGCTGTGGTGCCTCGCAGCTACGGTGGTGCGGGAGGGAAAAAAATTGATCCGGCGCCCAACAGGCGGCCACTGCGTTCAAGGGGTAGGACCAGGTTACAGCTGCAGACGCGAAAAGGCACGCGGAAAAAAAAGGGGCGAACACAAGGTTGAGCTCAAGGGGAAGGGGTAGCGTAGATTGCTTTGCCCGTAGCTGTAGTTGCCGCCGCTTGTTGTATGGGACGTGTGACTTTGCGTGTGGGCGGCGTCGAACTCGAGGGTGTGGAAGTCGACGGTCACCTTGTGCTGACGCCGGCCGACTTTGCAGCCGCTGGGGGTCAGGTAGTGGCCCTGGCTGAAGAGGCCGGTCCTGCCCCAGCGA